AACGATACAAATAGAAAGAGATAAAGCGACATATATATATATATAGAGAGAGAGAGAGAGAGAGAGAGAGAGAGTGTGAGACACATTATCTAGCGACATCCATGTAATTGCGGCTAATTAATGACAAATCGGATTAGAGGCAATTGCCAAAAATGTTGGCTCCGCCACACAATGCAGCATCAGTTCGCATGACAGTCATATATTATTAGCATTGGTCCCGTCCATTTTATCCGCAACACGAGACCAACAACAATGAGCAACGAACAGCCGCAATTGCATTTGCCATTTGGCAAAAGTGAGACAAATATGCAAAAGTTGCCTAGCAAATTGGCAAAAAATGCCGCTGGCTCATGTTTTTCATCTTTTCTGTTTTGTGTGCCACACCCACTCGATCTGGGTGTGCCACAGTAGCGTAACGTAAAGTAAAGTAACGTAACGAACCGATAGGAATCCAACGAGCCGCACCACAATCTGAAATTGTTCTTCGTCTCTCTGGTCTGCAGCAATAAACATCGCTGGCTCCGATAGTAGAATTTAATTAAAAGCTGTTCCATCTGCCCAGTTGGCAGACTGAACAGTCAACACTGCAAATACCAGCGGCAACAAGGCAAATGAAAGCAAAGCGAAGAAAACAAAAAAAAAAAAAAAAAGAGAAAAGAAAATTAAAATGAAAATGAAAATCGAACAAAACAAACCGATGAAATGAAATAAAAAAGCGAATTGTGAATTTTCCAATGGAGACCATAAAACTCCAGAGCCCAGCAACCGCCGAAGGTATATTGACTTATTGGAGTAGTATAACGGAATTATGAAGGTTACTGGGGCAGCATGTGTAACGCTTACAGCGATTACTGTTGTGCATGTCAATCACTTCAATCATTGATTGAATATGATTGATGCTGATAGTTGTTGATTGATTGATAGTTGATGCATATCATTGCATGACACAATTGAGTGACAATTGTGTTTCGCATAAACAGACAAGCAGGCGGATGGACAGGGACATATATAGATTCAATTACCGAGAAAATATAATAACCCATCATATTCAGTTTTTAGAAATATTATCTAGCAGCGGGAAAAGCTGAGAAGACTTCGCTTGAGCCTGCTGATAGAAATTAGTTCAATATCGAAATATGTTTTTGGGTCAAAACTTCAGTACTTCTTATCCGATCTTAATGAGATATTTACAGTTGATCAATAAATTAGCAATGTATTTCAGCAAAATGTCCTTTCCTAAATTGATCTAAAGCATAATTCTCTACGTCTTTCTCTCTCTCTCTTAGATATTTCTATAGCCTTCCGTCTTTCCTTCACTGTCTCACTCTATTTCTTCTGTTTCTCCCATATTGGTTAGTTGTATGAGTAGCTGATTTTACTGATTTATACAAGTAGTTATTTACATCAAGTAGCGGCAACAAATTCTTAAGTCTTTCAGCTGCTTACCACAAGGGGATACACTCACACACACACACAGCCCACACTTCTAAACTCTATCTGCGTGCAAGCCATAAAAACCAGAAGCTCAATTATCAAAATGCTACGTGTGCTTTGTTGTGTGTGTGTGTGTGTGTGTGTGTGTTGGGATGTGTGTGTCACATCTATGGCGAGTATTCTTATATTCGCATACGCATTTCCATTCTCATTGTCATTGGAGCTGCTGCTGCCGCAGTCGCCTCTTTTGGGGGCTTTGTCCCTTTGGGTTTTTGTGTCTGTGGTCGTTTTTGACTGTGCAAATAGATAAATTTATTTATTTTATGCTCGGCTGCTGTAAAAGCCACACACACACACAAAAACAAACCCACAAAGGCACATATAGACAAAAGGGGGGAGAAGGGGGAGATTGAGGATTTTAAATTTTGTTATGGATGCATTTGAGCGCCAGTCAAAGCATCGTTTTAAACGTCCGACTAACTTCAAATGCCTCTCTTTACTTATGCGCACAATCTATATATTTTCAATGCCATTGAACAGTGAACATTGAAAATTGAATATTTTGAGACGGGCAACGTTTTTGCCTCAACTCGATTGACGACGATTTTAAGTTGAGCTGAGCTTTAAATAAGATCGCATATAATGTGTGCATATGTATTTTGCGTAGACACATTGACTGTGCTGTGCTGTGCTATGGCTATGACTGAGACTATTAAATTTGCATTAACGTACACAGGGCACACACATAGAGCACAAATAAACAGATTTGATTCACTAAGACGATCGAATAATCGATTCAGTTGTTGAGTTGTTGGTGCCACAAATAAAGGCGGCGGCTGTCTGCTCAGTATTCGAATGGTAAAGTAGTTCTTTTCATTTGTCCCTTTGTTGTTGTTGTTGTTGTGGCATGGCCCATCGAAAATGCCAATACATTATAAATTATAGTTGGATTTCAGTGAGACACGGGCAAAGCAGCAGCCATTCTCGAGCTGCTAACGCGGCGTATACGTAATCTGCCATACAATGGCACGCAAAGGGGCCAACCAACGGCAACTGAGGAAATAACTGCGGCGACAATTGAGAACAGGAAGCAAATAAACGCTGTAAAAATTCTTGAGCAGCTTACGTGCTACATTATGTATAGCTATAAGTGTGTGTCTGTGTGTGTGTGTGTGTGTGTAGAAGAAAGCATTCGTGCGTATGTCTTTATATCGAAAAGTTTTTGCCACTTTCTTAGCGCTGCTCAACTTTTGTTATGCTCGCTTAGTCCCTCCATCGTCTGCACACCACATCTCACCTCCTTAGAGAGCTCCCCTCCCCACCCTTCCGCAGCACTCATCAACCACTAACCTCCCTTCACGCAGCTCAGCTATTTTTGTACATTTTTTCAATGGTTCGCCTGACTTTCACTTTCACTGCGAAACTTTGATGCCGTGTATATCGCTCTGTGTGTGTGCGGGCTCTAAAAATATTTTGCACTTTTTGGTGGTGCTCAGCAAGTGAAGTTTGTTTGTCTACACTCAGAAAAAATTCGATCAGAAAACTAGAAAGTTTTCATTTCTTTTCAAAATAAATTCTTGAACTTATTTTATACTTTTCTGTGTTTTTTTTTTCTCCCAATTTATTGAACAGAAAAAGAATTAGAAAGAAACAACACTTCATAAATGATATTATTATATTATAGTTATATACTCTAAACAATAAACAGAGCTGCCACTGGTGCCAAAAGTGTGGAGCTTTTTGTAAAATTCACGCCAATTCTTTTTGTCTGAGTGTACTTTAAACATAAACCGATCGGCTTTCTATTTATTTACCCCACCATTGTTCGGAATGCTGGAACTATGGATGCAGGAATGTATCTTTCTCTATGTGTGTGTGTGTGTGTGTGTGTGTGTGTGTGCGATTGTGTGTTTATATGGGTGTTTTGTGTGGGCCTGACAGATTCACACATAGATATAGGACACAGGATACACAGTGTGTACTCCTCATCGTACCCAGACCTGATCATCCTTTGCTGAGGCAGCCTCTTGCCTTTTTTTATGTTTTTTGTGTGTGCTACAAATTGTTTGGCTTTCGAAATTCCTTGCGTTATTGTTGAGGTTTTTATGGACTTGACTTGGTGGCACGAACAGCGGTGGCGGCGGCGGGGGCGGATGGCGTTTGCTGCAAGTAAGCTGGAATTCATAGATGAGCACCGTAAGATAGACTCGAAAAACTAATTTGTAGCTGGGGCACGAAAGAATATTGTTATTGATAGATGACAATGGTCGACAGCCGTCCAGGATTTATGTTTGCCTCTTACCAACCACCCACCGCCCCGCACCACCAATGGAGCTGTCGTCCTGTGTGTGGAGCTCTAAAGCTCTGTAACTGTGCGAGCAATGCGATTCTTGCACGCAGTCTCACAGACACTTGGCTGGCAATTGGAAATTAAATTGCTTTTCCATATGACACTTAGGCTCAAATTGACATCGTTAAATGTATTTGTGTTGGCAGCCAAAGCAATTCCCGGCTGCAAAATGGAATCCATTCATCTTTGCTGCTCTGTCCGAAATGGCAAGCAATAGAAATTTATGTCTTTGAAAAGCGAATATTGTTACTCACTCAAATGATGCAAAAATACTAATAAAAGAAATGACCTTTCCAGTCATCTCAGCCCACATAGCAGTGGGTAAATTGATTTAAACTCCTTGCTCAGATTTAAGGCCGCGGGTCTCAGTTGCCTCAGATAAGCCTTTTCACATCGGAATCAAAAAGATCAAAGCATTGCAAAACACACAAAGACATTTTGTGCGGCTCTCAGTGAATCATCCACAGTAAAAAAAATTATTTATATATCTTTCGCTCATTGCTTATTTGTGTACTTCTATAAAAATACAATTTCCTTATTATAATTATCGCTTTATTTGCTATTTTTGGCAATAAACGACTATCCAGGAAATGAGAGAACTTGGCTACGATTTTGCACCATGCCCACCAATTACAAACCAATCGCAACTTATTTCTTAAGTGCGTCTCATCTTTAATACATTAAACAAGTTAGAGCGCTGTAAGAGAGCTCGACTAATAGATATCTGCTCTTAAATTTATCAAATCTTTGAATCATCGCTTGTAGTTTTATTGCCAAGCTTCCCCATCATCTAAAAGACAGACTCTAAAAAAACCAAATGGGCGAACAATAAAAACTTCCTTCAATATGAAAATACATTTTGGTTAGCAAAATCTGTAAGTCGTTTCCAATCTTTGCAACTGTTCAAAATTATGTCAGGGTATAGATGATATATCATCAGAATGAAATATCTTTACAATTGTATCATTTATTGCTATCGAAAATCGATTTTTATCTATATTGGGCAAATCGAGGCAGTTATCTATAAAATGAATTGATTTGCGTATGTTATACAATGAGTTATAGTTATAGTTATGAGACTGAGTCTGTTTTTTTATATTTGTACACCTATAACTTCATTATGCCCTTAAATAAAATTATATAGTTAAGTATAATCAATTTAAATAATACATTTTAAGTATCTCTCTCTGTGTCTCTTTCTTCCATCCTCTTTTAGGTGAATGGTGCATGGGCATTGCCTAATGTTGTTTGTGATTTCTATATAGCCATGGATGTGATATGCTCTACTTCATCGATATTTAATTTAGTCGCGATTTCCATAGACAGGTAAGCAAATTCTCAGTTGACTGTTCTCTATTCGATTCGATTTGATTTGATATTGCTGACATTCCATGCATCTTTGCATACTTTGCAGATACATCGCTGTGACGCAGCCAATAAAATATGCAAAGCACAAAAATAGTCGCCGCGTTTGCCTTACAATATTATTGGTTTGGGCGATATCTGCTGCCATCGGTTCACCAATAGTTCTCGGTTTGAACAACACACCGAATCGTGAGCCGGATGTCTGCGCCTTCTACAATGCTGATTTCATTCTATACTCATCGCTAAGCAGCTTCTACATACCATGCATAATCATGGTATTCCTCTACTGGAACATATTCAAGGTGAGTAAACAACCAACAACCAACAACAAACAACAGTCTGTCAGCGAGCTAATCAAAAAGGGATTTGCATTTGGATTGGATGCCCATTTGAATTAGTTAATATATATCTATATATATATATATCCAGTTGCTTTTTGCTGAATGCAAGGAATGCAGTCGCTTATTCAGTCTGCTGACTTATGCACAATTTCCCAACGATTAAACATGTAATAAGTTGGCGAGGCTGATGCTTAAAACTGCATGCACAGCATAGCTATAAAAAAAATAGATATATAAATATATATGTATATATATTGGTGTTTGGGTTTACTAACAACAAAATCTGGTTTTTGCATTTCAGGCGCTTCGCAGCCGTGCACGTAAACAACGTGCAGCTCGAAAGCCGCATCTGTCGGAGCTAACCGGAGGCAGCGTCATCGAGAACATTGCACAGACACGGCGATTGGCGGAAACGGCATTGGATAGCAGCCGGCATCCAAGCCGCATAATGCCCGATGAGCCGGCAACGAACACGGCCAGCGGCTCCAATGAGGAGGAGGACGAGAATGCCATATCGCCCGATATCGATGATTGCCACGTCATTGTGAACGATAAGTCGACGGAGTTCATGCTGGCCACTGTTGTCGAGGAGACCGGCAAGTAAGTAACAAAGTGCTGCCAATACCAATAATGCCCCCTTTTTGCCACTTTGTGTTTTTGTGCGAGATATTTGCTGTTTCTCTTTCTCTCTCTGTCGTGCTCTCTCTCTCTCTCTCTCTCTCTCTCTATCTCTCTCTCTCTCTGTGACGACCCTGACCAGATAAAAAGAATACAAATTGGTTTGGGAGCGGAGCATTTAGTTTGGGTTTGACAACTGTTTGATGTAGGTACAACTAATGGAATTTACATGCAAAAGGTTACACAATTTAAATAGTTTGGGCTGTCTCATATTGGGAGTCCCTTTTTGCCTGATTACCAATTTCGATGCCTCAATTTTGCCAGAGCCATGACTGTAACTGTATCAAGTAGGCTTAATCAGTTCATATTTCAAGTATTCCAATCACAACAAATTAAACTAAGCTTCTGCAACTTTTTCATATATAATTATGTTTTTACTTTTTTTTTGTTTTTGGTTGAACTGTGGACACTTTAAGCAGAGTACCTGAATTACAGCAGGACAAGTTGCAGTTGTTGGCTGCGATTGTCAATGTGCCACGTGCGGAACGTAAAAGATAAGAACTGTAAAGCAGAGTATGACTATGGTTAACTACACGGACAGTTGCTGATTCAACAAATTGGCTCTGTCTCTGGCAATGGCTGGTTGTCGAACTTGAGTTTGAGCTGGAAGCACTCCCAAATGCATTTAGTGGCTGCATCCACTTAGTGGCAGCCAAAGCAAATTGTCAAAGTACTTGGTAATTGCAACTTCTTGGCACTCGGCACTTGGCGCTGCTCATCTTTCAGGTCTGGTTGCTAACTCGATTCAACGCCTGCTCATTTAAATTCACACGCTCTGCAATAAAATGAAAATCCAAAATGAGCACTCAGCATTCCCATTCGGCCACCGCCCCCATATCTCTCTCTCTCTCTCTCTCTCTCTCTCTCTCTCTCTCTCTCTCACTCTCTCTCTATTTGGATTTATATATGTATCTCTATCTGCGTCTGTATCTGGCAATGTTAGCTCCCTTGGCTTCCATTGCAATTGTCGCGCTTGGAGATGCGGCATTTTATTGACTTTGCAGTAAAGGCAAGCGATTAATATTGAAGCATTTGAAGCGACTGCATCGTAGATTGCAACTTTCAACTCCCTCAACTGGTATTCACAATCACGTTCACAATAAATGTGCTTGCCACATTTGCAAATGACTAATCAGTTCTGGGAATTACATGCCACATGCAGCTTATCTCACAGAGCTTTGTGGCAATCGTACAAATTACGTATGCCTTCTTCCATTTGAAATGGGACATATATGTATATAAAACAACAAGAAATCGAACCAATCGGTTTGGTCTAGAAAACTCAATAAGTTTATACCTCATCATGTTGCAAGTTAATGTTTACATAGTTATTGTGTTCAAATTGATGTGCTGAATATGCATTTATTGAATATGGATCTCAAACATTATACTTTTGTCGATATAGCTCAGCTTTAAAACTATCTGGAGAAACTTGTAGATAATTATATATCATGAAGCTGCCATAGGAACGATCGGTCGAGAGATGAGTTCTTTTATGTTCTTATTTTGTTCAGCAAAAAATTTCTGAAATAATAATTATTTTAACTTTGGACCGAATTGCCAATTTCAACAGTTTAACTTCGGTCTACGGAGATATGCTTAAGATGGCCTATCTTCATCTTTACTATTAAATAGTTTACATTTAAATTTAAATTTTTTGTATATTCAATCATTATTTATTTTGATAATTTTATTATTGGTATATATCGTCAATTTGAAAACGGCAGCTGAGCGCAGCGAGAGCGTTAAGTACAGTCAATTAGCAAACTGATGGACGCATTAATCCAATAAGGACATGAAATGAAATGAAACCAATATTGAAGGGGGCGGTCAAGCCGACAATCGACCGAACCAGCAAACCATATTGAAAACTTTTTACCAAAGGGCTGACGAGACCGAACATAATTGGGAAACGCAAAACTTTGCCTCACTTCACCCCTCAAACACAATCTATTTGTCTGTCTCTCTCTCTCTCTCTATCTCTCTCGTTCTCGCTCTCGCTCTCGCTCTCTCGCTCTGTCTCAGTCGTGCACAATTCACTTAGTTGTTGGGGTCGTCAGACAGAGGCAGAGAAAAATAAATCTCAATAATTCAATTAATGCGTCACTTAATTAAAATTCAATTTTATGCCTTGTTTTTAAATTGACGTTGCGAATCGTTTTTTTTTTCTCTTGCTGCCCCCGGTTGCGCCCCGGTTGACCCATTACCGCTCATCATCTGACCCGCCTGGCTCCCTCTCTCTCCCCCCTCTCTCTCTCTCTCTCTTTCCTTCTCTCCCTCTCTCTCTCTCTCTCTCTCTCTTTGGTGTGTTTTCCTTTGGATGCTGCTGCTGCTGATGCTGTCTATCCGTGATTGATTACCATGACCGGATTGCGTTTGATTGTCTTCTTCAACATCTACATCATTATCATCATCGGTGTCATCATGATGATGATGATGAACTGCCCGTTTTATTTTACATGATGGTCATCGTTCCTGTGACAGCAGCGTTGTGGCGCAGATCACCACACAGCCGCAGCTGGTCGTTGCCGATCCAAATGGTAATCATGATTCTGGTTATGCAGCATCAAACGTTGACGATGTCCTTGCAGGAGTGAGCGTTGGCGCCGCCATTAGCAGCACAACGCCGCCGGACAGTCCAATACCCAGCGGCACCACCTTGCAGCGATCCAGTGTCAGCAGTCGTCGCAACACCGTCGAGGACTCGCCCAAGCGCATTGAGCCAGCTCTCAGGTATGTTACTCCCTCCCATCCTTTATATATAGACACACACACACATACGTATATGTATAAATGTATATCAAGTGACGCACTTCCGTACAAGTCACAAAAGTATTTAACCATCATTAAGCTGTATTTGATTTATTATAGTGATATACATACAGCTCTGGTCAAAATAATAGTAGTGCACACATATAGAAAATATACAACAAAAAAATACTTAAAATATATTTAATAATTATGACAATTGTATTTAAACACAAGCAATCAATGCAAAAGATACCATATACATTGAAAGCTTTATTTATTTATTGTATATTTATTTTAAATTAATTGTTATTGAAATTAATTAAAAAACTAGATTTGATGAGTTTTTCTGCGTTAGCATATGGAAAATAAAAGTATTTTAAAATATTCCCAGATTTGATCACCATAAAATGAGTTCAATTTTTATTAAATTATTTGAGAAGCAGCATTTTATTTGGACAGCAACTGTCTATGTCTATATCATACACCCATTAAAAATTGATAATTGAGGTATAATAAAGGTTTGCAAAAGTAAGCAACAAGCAGCAGGAAGCAACTCAGATATATTCTTGAGCGTCTGTCAGATAACGCTGATTTTAGAGATTAGGAAAGCTGGAGACTTTAAATTTGGAATATAAGCATTTGAATATCATACACAGGTAACATTCGTTTTCTTTCACTGATAACTTCTGCTGGAAATCGATTTTTATCGAAATACAGAAAGAAATCGTATTTTCATATTTATTCGATTAATGCGACTCATTCATACATGCAGTTATCAATAATATGGATTGTGGGATTTAAGATAATTGAGGATTTGAATGCAGGATATCTGCTAGTCGAGCCCTCTCGCCTAGAGCATTTCATTTCTTTAGTCAGTGTGTGTGTGTGTGTTGTAGATTGCCTGTAGCTGGTGGCTTGGTGTGAATCATGTACTGACCAATTGGCTTCCGTTTGCTCCTTTGCTCTTGTGTTTTTTAGCAGCAGCGTCGCCATGAAGCCATTGTCCTTTGTACGCTACGGAGTGCAGGAGGCCATGACTTTGGCACGCAACGACTCCACGCTATCGACCACATCGAAAACGTCCTCGCGCAAGGATAAGAAAAACTCGCAGGCGTCAAGGTGAGTCGCAAGGCGTTGCCTCGTCAAATTGTCAAATTTGCCATGTTTGTAAATTGCTCGATTATTAGCACAGCTCAGCTCAGCTCAGCTCAGCTGGTCTAATAGCTTCAACAATTGCGAACAACTCTCCTCGCATAATAAACTCTTTCATTCACTGCTTGTTTTGCTGTTTCTTCTGCTATTTTCTTCTTTTTTTTCCTGTTGCATGCAACATGGAATGCAATTTACTGCGGCTTCCCATCCGGTTATTGCGTGTGTGGCCTTAGATTCACGATATACAAGGTGCACAAGGCCTCGAAAAAGAAACGCGAGAAATCGTCGGCGAAAAAGGAACGCAAGGCCACGAAAACATTGGCCATCGTCCTGGGTAAGTCGAATACACAACAAATATTCGTGTATATCACTGTTATTTTGCATTGCATTCAATATGCGTCTTGATTTTGTTAATTGTCTGAGTATGTTTGTTCTATATTTGCGTTTTGTTTCTATTCTGTGCCATCAAAGGCGTATTTCTGTTCTGTTGGCTGCCGTTCTTCACCTGCAACATCATGGATGCAATGTGCGCTAAATTCAACGAAGACTGCCGGCCGGGTCTGACGGCCTTTATGCTGACGACTTGGCTGGGCTATATCAATAGCTTTGTCAATCCCGTTATCTACACGATATTCAATCCAGAATTTCGCAAGGCATTCAAAAAGATTATGCATATGGGGTGATTACTATCAACAACAAAAACAGCAACAAAAATAACAACTATAATAACAACAACAACAATAACAATTGACAGAATGAGAAGCAAAACGGGTGTTGAAAAAGTCTTGTTTTGTGTTAAGCTCATCAATTTGTAAGTACTCGAAAATCGATAATTGATACACGTCTATCGGGTGTCTGAAATCGATAACTCAAAACTCAAACTGTGCCAAATGCAACCAAATGAAATTGAACTCAAAGCTCAAAACTCAATTAGACTCATAAGATTGTTGGTGGTATCAACCGAATACATACATAGATATATGTAGATACATACATGTATATAAAAGAAATCTATATATACATATGTTTATGTTTAAGCTAAGTAAGTATATATAATCGTTATGTACATAGGTCTGTAAATAGCAACTAAGATTTGATCAAACCTGTTGTATGTATTGTATTCTATTGTATATGTTGAGCATTCAGAGCTGTAGGCTAGGCACCAATTTTTAACATTTAGCTAATGTCTAACATAAAATTCTAGTTAATTGCCGAATATATATATATATATATATATATATATATATAAATATATATGTATACATGTTTAAGAATACAGTTGTACCGTTAATCGATATGAGATCATCTTAGGCAGTAAGTCGATATTGTTCACTTTCACAATTCTACTTAAAGAGAGACAAGAGTTTATAAAGTTACTAGATATTTACTTTACATATCACGCATTCAGTTTCTGTGAATCTTCTCCCGATGAGATCTTAGACCACGTTTTGATAAGCTGTAAGGCAAATCCAGCGATGGCAGAGCATATCCTATCCAGAATCAACTATAACCACTATGCTGATTCCCCCACCAACCTGCTCCTCAATCCCCCTTTTTGATACTTAGCTTGAATGCTGCTTGAATTGTAGTTAAGAATAAATATTAAATCGTTAACCGACGGCACACATGCTTTCCTTTTGATAATATGTTAGTAGGTCCCTTCTAGTGACAACGTGCGTCCATCGGTTCCAGAATCTGGATTTTTGTAATACTTGTATCTAGAGTTAGTCTTAAGCAGTGGCTCAAATTCAGCGCCCCACACAAATTCAACATGTTTCTCTTATAAGATTAAGCAAGTGAGAGCGAGAAACAGAAAAAGAGAGACACAGAGAGTGAATCGAAAGTTATCGATAAATTAGCTGCTCAAGTAGACTCAATTCAAATATATTTAAATATGTCTTGTACGAAATAACTAACTAGAATATCAAAATAACAATGTAGTCCACAATTTGCTTAAGGGTGTCAAACCGGAGGCGCAACTACAACTTTATCGTTTGAAATTTAGAAAACCCGAACCAATATCGAAATTAAACTTTTTTCTTCGAACTAGTTACATAAATCGATATTACAAGTTCAACTAGTGAATTAAAATTTAAACCCTGTACTCCAAAATTTCTCTCAGCTAGAAAAATAGATACAGATGAAAGATACAGAAACATTTCCCACCAGTATTCGTGGCTACTTGACAATAACGCGCTAATTATCGATAGCTTCGATACATACTCACACACACACACACACATACTTACATACTGAAACAAATGAGCCCCACATAAAAAGTAAAAGCAAAAGCATATTTCAATTGGCGCTGAATTTGACTCATCTGCTTGAAATCACACCCCTTGTTTTGGATTCTCAAAGAACAACAAATCACCTAAATACCCATGCGGATATAAATATGTGTAAGTAGAAATATTACTAAAATGTAAGCGCATTTAAAACTAGCCTAAGCTCCATATATAGACATTTATAATATAGTATAATGTAAGGAAGCAACCAAAAAAGCGCACTGAGTGCGAAGAAAAATACTCGTTCAGTATTTTTGCCAGGGACATGCCAGGCACACATGCCCATCAAGTACTTAGCACTAGAAATAATATTAAACCGAAGCTTATACGTACGTACTACAATGATGAATTGGTACATCAAAGAATTACAATATAAGTTGCATCAGGGTATCTAAAGCGTAGGCTTACAAATTACTAGACCTAAGCTAGGCAGCAAACGCATAAGGCATTAAATTCTATTTACGTACCAAAACTAGCAAAGTAACTGTAAAAATGATATATAAACTTGCATATACATACATATTATATGAACAACTTGTTTGGAAACAAGGACCGAAATATACTATCCACTCACACAACAAAAAAAAAAAAACAAAAACAAAAATGAATAAAAATGAATAAAAATGATGCCGTCTTGAATTTGCTGAAGCTGAAGTGCTCTAAAAGCAGAACAAAAACAAAATTGGCTGAGAGTTTTTGATCGCAAAATGGATCAGATCAGAATCTGGAACACAATTACACTTGAATACTAAGCATGGCATTTTCCACGAACTGTGCCGCTTACCCAATCCACGAATAAACTACAAATCAGTTGGAGTGTCGAAAAAAAAAAGGAAAAGAAACAGAAAACATTACAAAGAAAAAGTGCAAGCAAAGAGCCTTAATTTCGAACTGCTTGGAGTATGCCCCTTTGCTCACAATCAAAGAAATAAACAAATCAAAATGAATCAAATTTAAATCGGCATCTAAGCACACACACACACACACCCATTTAAGTTTTGGTCCCTGATTTCAACAACCGTCCTCTTCATTGCTTCTATGTGACAAATAATGTTAAATAAACCAAAGCGAAATAAGCTAAAAAAAATAGTTTTTAAGAATTTAGTTAATGAAGAACATACATACATTCACGCACATACAGTTAAGTTATATATGTATGTGTAGGCTAGTCGTTTCCTGCTCATCATTTTGGAACCCTGTAGGAAAAGCTCAACAAATTTTTATACTTTCCTATAACAAAAAAAAAAAGAAAACAAAACAAAAACAAAAACAATAAGAAAACCAACAAAAATGCAATGGAAATTTAAGTGTTGTTATTTAATTTTTTTTTTTCGTGTAAGCGTATTTAGTACAATTTTATTCTAAATTAAACGAGATTCTTCTAGGTGCGTTAGGTCATAGAAATCTTCTAAGTAATACGAATAAGATGAAGAATAAGAGTATCAGTAATTTTCCATTTATAACAAGAAAAAGTATCCAAATGAATGCTTTAGTTAAGTTCTTCCAAAGAAAACGCTTATTAGTTATAATGACGTCGAATGCGGAGATTCATGAGATATTCACTTTAAACAAATAGGAACCCAAACTAATTAATAGATGAAGTGAATATGCGAATCAGTAAACGATCATGATTAAATAATACCTACATAAATATATAAATAAATAATGTTATTGAGTTCCGAATTTGTTTCAATTTGTTCATAGTAATCAATGAAATATTCGATTGTATATTTATAGATTGTTACATTTGTTTTCTAATAATACAAATAAAAAGCAAACCTGCTTAGGTATAGAAAATCATATATTTAAGATCTCTCCGCATTATCAGTATCAATATCATGATTATGATTATGATTATGATTCAGTAATGTGTAATGCAACCCTAAAAGGCAACTGCAATCACAAAGAGGCTAAAACACATATAAAATATAACACAATAGAAATAAGTAAGTACACTAAGAGAACAAAAAAAAGGCACAACAATTATTAAAAGCAAATACATAAATTAAAACACTAAAGAAAAAAAAAAACAGAAACTGAAACTATTTTAAAGCAATGATAATGTTGGTTTTTTTTTTAGGATTAATCGAACTTAAAATTAACTAAAGTAATAAACAAAGTATATATATATATATATATATATGTATATATTACTTAATATTAATATATATATATGTATATATATATATATAAATTTATATATATAAGCGGGCTGCAAAACAAAAAGAAAAGAAAATCACCCGAAATAAAATTAAAAGCAAACTATTTCGACTTTATGCAAGCAAAACTACCATAACATTAATTGTAGTCAGCAGAAATAATGATAAAAAGAATGAAGGAAAGAAAATCGATGAACCATGGCACAGAGCAAATGATAAGTGAAAAATATATACATCAAATAAACATAAAAATGAAAATATTTCAAACCAAAAAAAAAAAAAAAACCCTCCAATGCATTTTTAATGTTTGAAATAAATTCTCGGTGGGAATTGTAATAAGTTTTGGGCTGCAAATAGAACATATTTAAATATATTTATCTATATATGTTTATTACTTAACTGCAAATATAATACGTAAGATATCAACTGCATTTTATTCATTAACTGATTTCAGACACAAATATAATTTACATTTTAAATCAGATGCAGTGTGATATAATGACTAGAGGGGCTGACGAGAGGGGATCCTTCTACATATTTATATGGTCATTGAGGGCTTTGATGCCATTGGCAATACATGACTGATTTTTTGTCATTTACAGCCACAACCACACACACACACACAACAAATGTACATGCGTGTGTGTATGTGTGTACATCAAGATTTTATTGCATTTATATGAGCTGATAATAAAATTCCAATAAGCATGAAAAGAAATAAAAATACTTACGCAAGACAAACAAAAACAACAATGCCAAGAAATAAGCAAAGGCAATGCGAAGCTTTAAGTAACTGGCAAAAGGACCAAGGCCATGCCACCAATGGTGCTCCAAATCAATTCAAGAAGGTGCCATTCCCCACCCCACCCCCAATACACACACACACACACACACACACAGATAGGCAACAAATACCAGAAATAAAAGAAAAACCCGAAACCGAAACGTAACTAAAAGCGTCTAAATAGATAAATTCATAGTACTTTTTGTTGTATCCACGCAGGGCCCACATCTCTTACCGCCCCTCCCTCCCCCTTTCCAATGACCCACGTCAGACTCTAATGGGCACTCAGCAGCCGAATTCGAATGCGAATACGAATAACGGTACGAGTATGACTACGAGTGTTAGTTTTGGGTATAAATACAAGTACAAGTATGAGTGTAAGGATGAGTATAAGTGTGTATACTCAATACTTAAAGTGTGTTCACACACAACACAAAAATAGTAACGACTACTATTATAGCCTGGCTTAAGGATGATCCGACCAATAGCCGGATTCCACTATTGCCCAATTCTTTCGTACATTCACAATGAGTGTCCGTTAGTCGTTAACGTGTGAATTGCAAAAAGTTAAAATTAAAATTGATTTAAATATCAACAACATACTCAACATACTGCAAAACATTCGATAATGTCAGAAATGTTAATTCGGGAATGTGGCTTTTAAGTAGCCATAATTTGTGTAGTTTTATTATTTAATTTGAACTTTGAAACTAAATTACAATTTAAGTGTTACGATATTCTTATTGAATGTAGAAGCACTTGCAATATTA